GTATTACGAATTTGATATCCAATTTATAAGCATCTTATTTTTTAATCCTTTTTGCGATGTTGAAGTAGACTTTGATGTATATCAAATCAAATATCAAATAGTATTTATTTATTTTCATCCTGGGTGCCACTTATTAAATAAAAATTATTTAAACAAGGGGCCTACTAAGTGACGCAATTGGGGGTCTTGTTAAAAGTTATGGTGCGGTACTGGGAAGAGAAGGAAGGAGAAATTAAAAAAAAACAACGATATTTTGGTGCTTTTTCGGTATTATGCGCGATTGTTTACTTGGGTGTTATCTGTATATAGAACAAGCAGTAATAAGGGGACTGATTATAAACTATCGGGTGGTAGTTGTCAAGGAAATAGGGGTACCATGTGCCTATGTTCTATTGGCTACTCATACTGAGTGGTGTAGTTATGAGTATATTTTAATTTATTCAGTTAATACTATATTATATTATGACAGGTGTGGAAGTGATAAATTGTTATTTTTGCTTTGATAGGGTTGTAATATATCTATCTATAGATAGCCAAAACTACACATCACAGACACTTTCTATGTGTGGTAGTAGCCCCTAGTTTCCCTTCGTGCACTATAGTGGTTGCGTGTCGATAGCTGTAAGAGCGTGGAAGATACGGGGGTTGAAAGTGGTGGAGTAAGTCACCTAGGATATTTTCATATTTCAAGAAAAGTGTTCTAAAAGAATATTTGACCCGAAGAGCCTAGAATGTTCTGGAACGTTCGAAAACCGTTGTGTATGAGTATTCGGGATGGTTTTTTAACACTATATTAGGGCATTTTCTTTATATATGTCGATCATAGTGAAACTGCACCACTTTATCTACTTGAATTTTCCTGTATGTTTCTGGCTTGGTTCACAGATAAAATGTTTTCTAATAACTAGGATTGTCCTCAAGTAGAACATTCTAGAGTGCATTGGACCGGAAGAATGTTTTGATTAATAAATTAAGATATTTTTATATATGTATGTATCTCGACCAGTGTCTGGATTATCCTATTATGTTTGCGATTTTTCCAGTCTAGTGTGCTTTTGTGTTTGCGAGTAGATTACCAAAACTTCCGTTTAGAATAAGAGAGAATGTAAACCCAGCGAAGCGGGTTGTCGTTAGCTAGTAAAATTATATTATTAAAAATGACGTAATGTACGGTTTCGTCTTGCAATAACATCCTATCTCCCCTAAGAGCCTTTACGGCTTCACTCTTCCCATCTAAAATGACATTTTATGCTCGGTCCCTCTGTTATTCCGTGTTCCATGGGGAGGGTGTAAAACGTAAAGTTACGGTGTGTTACATGGGAGGGGGGGTTAAAAATTTTCAGAAACTTCGTTATGTAATACTTGACGGTCCCTAACGTATAATTTTTAATTTATAATTTTTTACTTTTTATATTTAGAGTTCTTTCAATAATGCTTTCTTTGGATGTCAAATTCCCAAAGCTCTGTAAGTATAATTATCTCTCATATAGATGTACAGAAATTATAAAACCTAAGCAACGAACTAACCTACATGTTGTTTCTTGGACAGTCTTTGTTAGAATTATTACTTGTATGAAGTATGTAATGTTTTAGGAAATATCTGTTTTAACTACGGTTAGTTTATCAAACAATATTGTTCATGTATTTACCCTGCACACCATATACATATAAAATTACTGTCGTTAGATTTTAAGTTTCACTTAAATGCGATTTTGAATCTTGTCCCTTAAAATGTATAAAAAAATAGTTTTCAACCCTGATTACCAATTGTTTGGATAAATCGTGTTTTAAACATCTAACACTGATAAATGTGTATTTTGTATTGTTAGATCACTGCCATTAATTTTCAGGTGTTTTATTGTACGTGTAGTTTTGAAATTTTTGCTGTCTATTTGTTTTTAAAAAGACGTTACTGGTTAAATATTACTCGAAGAGAATGTAAATTATCCACTGTTTCATAACTATTGCTTTGTAGATGGTAGTTTTATCAAACATTTAGGACTTTTGATATCAATTTTAAAAATCTCTGCACACTGTTGTTGAATTTTCTTATGTATAGTTATGAAACATTAGATATAATTCGTTGTATAAATAGTAATGTTGTGTTGGTTGTATTTTGTAATAAGACTGAGTTTTAACGGTTTGGATTTTACTTCGATTTGTAAAATAGCTGTACATTAGCTTGTATCCTATTGGAAGAGATAACATAGACCAAACAACAGTTATAAATAATTATTGTTAGGTGCATGAATATTATTAATACGTTTTTGCTGTTTGTTTTCATAGAGTTGGATGGAAGGAGGGCTGCCAAAGCACAAAACAATTCGATAATTTCTTTTTTTCAAAACAATATTTAAGCTTCAATACAATATTTACCTCTGAGATTGCATTCCAAACAAAGCCACTAAGTTCCTTAAAGATAATTTATTTTTATTGACGCATAAAAGTTTGTTATGCTGTAAAGTAATTATTTTTGAAAGCACAGATCGCATATTTTCCTGTACAAATAATTATAATATACATTTGTAGCGTCTAAGAGGTGATAATAATAAATTAGTTGGTTTTTTCTTGTACTCATTGTGACGAAATTTTTTGTGGAAGTGCCTTTGGCTGAAAGTGGTAATTACTGATGATCGTTGAAAATCAAAAAATGTTAAACGATGTGTCCACAAAATACTTTTTAAATGAACGTTTTAGGATAAGTTCAGTCAAAAAAGATGTGATATTTAAATAAATGATTAACCTTTTTAACATTCGTATGCTTTACGCTATATAATGAATGGACGTATTGTACAAAATATTTGTAAAATTGTAAGTCATNGTAAATAATAAAAAAAAAATATATAAAAATATGTTTTTCTTTTTATAAAAGTTACTTTCAGAAGATGGAAAGATTTTTAAAGGAAAATTGTTATCAAACAATCTCAGTAAAAGGTAAGTGTCACAATTTTTCTACTTCTTTAAATAATTTTTTTTTCTATTTTCTTTGCAATGAATATTGCTCGTCAGGACCGTAACCAGTATTTTATTTCGGGAAGATCTCTCTCAGTTTATATTTAGTATTTAACCTGTGTCTATTGATAATAGAAATAAAAAGTACTTGTGCTCCTGCTCCGCGTATGTAACCAAAATTTTCATTTATTTTATTGTTTAAGTTTTTAAACATACAGGACGATTATAGAATCCAATAATTTAAACGTATAAGGCATAAATAAAACAATTATCGTCATGATAGATGTCATTCGCGCTTTTGTGGCTACACTGTCAGTTTTCAGGAATGATATCATCACAAGAAATTACAAGTATTTTTCCATTTTGAAAAAATATAACGACAAATTAGAAATACATGAGAAATCAGACGAAGACCAAGTTACTGAAGAATTTGTTTCTGTGATTGATTCTTTAATAAAGGAATTTTCAGAAACCGTTTGACGGATGACTTCAGTTCAGCATGTATTCTGCTAAAAGTAACATCTTACAACCCTAACATAAGTTTTTTGTCATCTAATCTGCAACAACAGAAGTCACACTAATTTTACTCTAATTTAAATTACACGCGTAATTTAGACTCTGCAAAATGTTTCTATTTTTTTTGTAGTAAATAAAGAATTTTCTAAATAGGAATGACGATGATTTTGATGCTTTTGTTCATCAAAAATTGAATGGCTCGAGAGACGTTTTGAAAATGGTTCAGTTTTGTTTTAAGATGCTGGGATACGTAAATATTCTCTGCTGTTTTTGTAAGTGCACTAGTGTAAGCCACTAGTCGTAATTGCAGTGCCTGTGTAGGTTTCTGCGTATATAGGTAGGTTTCCGGAAAACTCGATGCCCTAATTTTTTCCCTTTTCTTGTAAGTAATACGTCAAAAAAGGCCAGATGGTGGTGGTACTTTTTGATTTCCATGATAAATTGGAATATGAGGATGGATGCTATTCAGATATCACACTCACGTTATCATCTCTTCTTCGAACTTCTCCATGTAGAAGTTGGCTATTACAAAACTTCGTGGACTCCCCATGGTAACTCTAACACGAATAATCTTGAATTCTTTTTTATTTTTCTAACACGGTGGAGTTATGTATCTAGTAGATATTACATACAGTTACACGTACATACTGATGCTTTTGCATTAAATTTGTATTATTTAGATTTCTACAAGTTCCTGGCACTAAGCCTAGTTGGTACGTATTAAGGTTTTTTAATTTAAGGGCCGTCCAACAAATAATTCTGCCGTTTTATAAACAAACCAGTTTAGCTTGTTTGGTGTTTGTTCGACCCTTTTTTATCGGCTTACGTTATAATATTGGTTTCCATGAAAAGTCCTTTTATTTTAACGTAATAATATACCACAAAGGTTCACCCTGAAGGTTCATTCTAAATGTAGAGGAAAGAATAATACTAGCGTAGAAATTGCTCATTTAAAAGTAAATTATTATTGGAAAGATATTTCTTTTCTGAATTCAAGCCTAAAACCTTTATGGGGTGAGGCCCCACTCCTCTGGGGTCTGACTAGACGTTACAACCCCGTTACATAGGGAGGTGGGGACAGATTAAAATTGATGAATTTTACATTTTTAATTAATGAATAGTCTTGTATCTGTATTATACTACTTTTGGTGAAAAATATTAGAAAGGAACAAAGAGGTAAGTGTTTTACATGTTTTANCCTGCAGTCTCTGTCTCAGACGGTTTGTACTGTCTTCCTGATTTTTATCCACGTTTGCTTTCTTTTCTTCCAGACATTTACGCCCATCGAAATCAATTCTACAAATAATGAAAACGAAATTAATATTTTCAAATAATTCGAGGTAATGTGATAACATCTACAGAAAAACAGCACAAGTTTCAGTTACAAATTATTTATTTATCTTAAAATAATTATTTCGGCATACAGCAGCTTCTTGTCCTCTGTTTTCCTATTCTTTCCAATACTTCTTCACTGTACTACACCATTTTTGGTGAAACATTTTAGAAATGAACAAACAGGTAAGTTCTTTACATGTTTTATTAATTAGTATGTAATATAAAAAAGTGCGAATGTGTATTCATAGAAAATATAGTTACAGTAGTAGAAAAATATACAAATAAACAAGAAAAAAGAAATCCAAAAATAACCAGTAAAAATTAATTCCCCATTAAAGCAGTTGCGGAAGGATAGAATGATCGAATAGTTTGAATTCGTGTTCTGTCAATTTCTAAAGTTTTCCTTTTCAACATAATTTCTCGTTCTAAATCGCTTCTTGCTTTTATTAAACTAGCTTGCGACTCCTCTGCTGTTCTAAGTTGTCCTAATATAGCGCTAACGTTCTCACCAATTGATTTTACTTCAGCTACCAATCTAAAAACAGTTTAAAGTTAAGTTTAACATACATAGATAATGAAACTAACAAAAGGCGTCATTTTAATTTTTTAATTTCTTTTAAATGCTCATGAATATTGTCTGTTGCACTTATTGTTCGTTAATTAATTAGTAACAGTTTGTTTAAACATGGAGTTTGAACTGGAAGAATAAGAGACTAATATTCAAAAATTATGGTGAAGTAGAAAAGTAAAATAACCAACTGTGTCAATTTCTTTTACCCTTCGAAATCACCAGTTTTTGCTGTTGAGTTTGGAAATGTTGTGATAATTGCTTTAGGGATTTTATGGATATTGAATTCGGGTTGCTGTGTATATATATATTTCACGAAAACAGTAATCTCATAGATGCGTTGTGGTCACGCAAGGAAGAGCCGTGAGGCCAGTTGTCCTGCACTCTTTTTTCATAAACATAATAGTCAGATCATTAATTTGACTTTCGAATTACTATTCAAATATGTCTATAGATTGATACTTTTCATCTCTTGTGTAGATTATTATTCTATATATTTGATTTCTGTAATTAAATAATTTAATACGTTACCCAAATTGTGCTTCATCCCTACAATTTTCTACCCTTGGGCGATGATTCCTGTTATCAAGACGGGTCTGGGCTTTCTTCATTGGAACATCCATTCGTCGTACTAATGCCCGAAGATCATTTACTAAACCTTCCACATTGGCTAATTTTTGTAAAATCTGTAAAATATTTTTATGAATGAAAACAATTGAAGTATGAAGATATGTTTAATAATCAGTTTTATTTCTGGAAAATGGCAATATTCTACCATTTTAGTATTTGATGAAAAACCACCTAATAATTTAAGGATTTGATGAAAAACCACCTAATAATTACGTCAGCGGTGACCAACCCAAATGGTCTTGCGGTCCACTTTGGAAATAAATCGTAATTGCGCGGGCCGTATATACAATTTGCATGATACATCTGTAAATTTTTTGTCATAATTCGACAGTTACTTCTAACAAACACTAGTGATAACATTTAGTCAGTTATTTAATGTTGTAGAATAATAACAAAAAGAGTAGTTTAATTAAAATGATTAATATTAATTAATTAAGCGATTAATGCGATCAAGAATGAATTTTCAGACGTTAAAGTAAAGGGTTGTAATTTTCATTTCATCCAAGCGCTGCGACAGAAAATTCTACACTTGGGATTATCAGTTTCCTATATGAAGAAGAAGATTCGATCTTGCACTGTCGTCGGCTCGATGGGACTGCAGTTACAAATGTGAATCTAATAACGCACTTGGGTAAGCGTTTTTGCAACGTGAAGGTGTGGTTGGTCCGTATTTTTTTTTATTTCTGTTCTTTTTGTGACAATACAAGGTGATAATGATCAGGCAGGGCCTTCCAGGCCAAAAAGAGATTGTCTTTGTAAATATTTAGAGGCAGAGTTAGTAAAAATCTTACAAAATAGGGATACTCAGAATGAGTTTGAGTTTAGAGAATCTGAAGACGGGCTGACAGAAATGGAGTCAGGGTTCAAACCTTTCGGAGCGCGAGGATGCTGTAGTAGACGCTTCCAATTTAGTTGAAGATCAGCCAAAACGGCTGGAAAGACGAGCCAGACGACATGAAAGATTTTTCGTTTTTAGGTAAATAGGAGTGCAGGATTGTACTATCTGAAAATACAGGTCTGACGAAGGAAGCTGGCGAGCGGTCGCGCAGGTACTTGCCCATTTATGACCTATTTGGGTAAGTCACTTGGAACCGATACACAAATAAGTTTTCAGTAGGTGTAAATTATAGTATTAATACAGATGGGACAGTAGCGTACTAGAAAATAATGTAAAAACATGACTTATCAAGAAGAAAAAATTAACCTTTTGCTTTGGTTTTACAGTTAGTTTTCACATTCACTGTCATCATCGGAATCTCTATCACTGTCACCAACATCAACAATTAGTTCTTCTGTTTGTATGTCTATTACTTACTCACTGATCCCTGCTTTTAAATATTTAATCTACGCCCCTGATAGGAATACTGAAGAATGAGGGCTGCAATCTTTATACCTAAAACTGCCTACTTTTGCCACCGCGCATCCACGCCATTTTAAAATTTCCGCCAGCTTCCAGCGTCAGGCCTGTACTCCTTTTGAACATTTTCGTGTTATACTCGAGAGTTTGTAAATACAGACACTCGATTGTAGCGTTATTGTTAACCTGTAGTCTGTTCATGCCTATTTCGTCTATAATTTTTAGAGTATCGTTCGAAATAAGTTTCTGAGAATAATGTTATTGTTTTATTTAGTAATTACCTACATTTTTCTTCTTTCTGTTTCCATTCTTTTTCATTACAGAGAAATAATTCAGTTTTTATTTTGCATTTGAAAACCAGAATACTTGCATGTTCTTTTTTGTTTTAGTGTTTTATTGTATATTTTATTGAACAATAAAATAAATATACCAAATTTTAGTTAATCATTAACAAACGCTTATAAGCGTCGACGGCACCTAGCAATCAATTTTGAGCTTCAGTGCCACCGCTGCTTATCACAAAAATGCTTCTTTCGATAGATAACAGTCGTTTTTTTTTCACTTATTAAACATTTAGAGTAACATTGTCCTCAAATAATAAAAAACATGTTTTGGGACTTGGCAAATTGCCTTTTGATTAAGTTGACATAATTTTGTATCCTTAAATTAGCAGTCCTAAGCCTGGATAAAGTAAAGGAAAGTGTTACGTGTGATGTGTATGTTAGATTAGATATTCGAAACTTCTTGTAATAAAACTGTTTATTAAGGTAGGTATATACCTAAACATAATTACCTAATTATCAAAACTAATGACGCCGAAACGAGAACTTCATATAATCTTATTTTGTTAGGGATCCACTTGACGTACGAAACATTTCCTAATAACGCACAAACCGCGACAACCAAAAAGGGAACAAATCTTTTATTTTATTCTATTAATAATAATCTTTATGATTACGATAACATGTACCTTTTTAAGTTCGTCTTCGAGTTGAACACGTAAATTGTCAATGCAGTCGATTCTTTTTGAAAGACACATCTCCACTTTGTCCGCCTGCGCTCTCAAATCTCTTGCGGCATTGATTAAAATCGCATCAAGAGTACCACGGAGAGTTATAGAGCGTTGTCTCGTAGCTTCAGCTTCAACCAGAGTTTCCTTGGTAAATTTTTCCCAGCTTTCCCGAGACGACTGCCTGGAATATTTCATTGTATAATTTATAACGGAATAATGAATATTTGGTAGATAAATGTATATGTACATAGTAGGCACCGCAAAAAATGTCGCCCCATTACCCACATTATACAGAAAATGGATGAGGGTCAGAATATTTTTTGACTTTCCGCTATAAAAACCACTAATTTTTTAAAATTGAGTTTTCAGTGTGATTTTCGAAAATTGAGTAGGTATTCATCAAACCTTGATGCTTTGAGATCATACAAGTTAAAGCTCAAAAAGCTACACCGAATGCTGTAAATCTGATCAAACTGCGTTGATCCGTTCGAGAATATGTTGACGAAAAGTTTTGAAAACAATTTTTTGTTTTCTTTTGAAACGAAATTCGAATTCCTACTGAAATCGAATTTTTGTACTCAACTATCTGTTTGTGCTTTACAAATGTTAACACATGCTGTAAATCGTACCTCAATTCATTGATTCGTTTAAAAGATATTTTTAAATAGGTAAATAAAATNATTTATTTTTAATTGTAAATGCACACTTTTTTATGCATTTATGGCAGCAGAAAGAAAAAAAAATTCTCAAGCCCCAAATTTTGCTACCCCAGGGAATTTAACGCCCTGGACACTAGCCCCTATTGCCCACTGTACACAGTAGTACAATATAGTTTTCCATTACAAACTAAGATACTGACATATTAATAAATTAAACTTATTCCATCTTTATAAAAAGATCTTATAGATTGTCTGTTTTTGAAAAACCAAAATACTAGATGCGTTAGTTCATATTAAAAAGGAATGTTTATAATATTAAAAGGGCCAGTGAAATTATAAGAGCTTTGAAATGTTTCAATTATAAAAGCTATGAAATGGTTTAATAAGCAGAACTCTACGACCATTTTGACTTTTTCGGTATTTTCCGAAAGTAATGGAGTGACTTAGTAAATACTTTTTTTGCAACTCCAATTAAATAGTCAACAAATGTTATTAAAAGGGACTTCATACACATAACAAAGGTTGGCTTTTATGATAATTGCGCATTGTGAATTGTTCGTATAGGGTAAGGCAAAAATAGATTTAGAGATTAATATTTCATCTAATAATTACAGAATAGACATTATTAGATGTGAATACGAATTTACAAAGGTAGGTAAATTTAAAATTAAAAAGGAACCTAAATCCATAAAAAATTATTCTTCAATATCGTGCATTTTATTCAAAGCGTTTTTTATATTGTATATCTGCTTTTATTAAAGGATCGATCCGATTTTAAGAAGTAAAGGGATTAAGCTTATAATTAGTTTTGTATGCGCTTCAGGTTTCCCTACATTGTTGCTCTGAAACTAAAGAAAATAAGCCTTACTACCCCGTTATTATTTTTCTTAGAAATCGTAATTTCATAACTTAAAATTGTAAATTTTGAATAATAAAAGGTTTAATTTTCCTTTAAAATACTCTTACTTTTAAAATAATTCGAAGTGGTCTGTATTAATTATCAAAATTTATAGAGAACATGCTTCAATGTCACAAATCCATAATCACATTATGGTCCAAGTTTCACAAAAAACCCTGTACAGTTGAACTTTTGTAAGTCGAAATTGAAATTAACTTGAAATATTTTTTAACTCGAAAATGTTATTTTCTTTGATATACATTTTATTTTACATTTATTACAATCGACTGACCCAATACCCAAAATCGACTAGTTGACCATCCCTGTCCTGTATGGTATAATTTTTGAAATATCATAGCAATTTCATTTTTTATATTTATAATTTGAAATGAAATGTAAATAAACCATCATAAAATTCCTTTGATAATATTAAGGTTACAATGTCTGTAAATTTTGTCAGGTCGTTTTTATATAAAAGCTCATTATTTATTTGACGTCCTGGGGAAGTGTCCTTAATGTTCCTTTTAGCCTTTATCCTGTTTAGGTAAAGATAACATTAATAGCAACGGAAATTAATATAAACTTAAAAAACGACACGTACTCTTCAGGAAATCGTGTTGATCCGGCTTTGAACATTAAAATGTTTGACTTATTGTTAAGAGCAATGTTGATTGCTTCTAGTTCGTTCGCTTCTTTTTTATCTGTCCAGTCACATTCTAAACGATTTTTCGCGGTTTTATCTTCGAGCAGTTGGTGTTCGATATCTTTCAATGTCCGGGTAAACGTTTCCTCGATTTCAACAGTTAACGCGAGTTCTTTCATTAGTTCCACTTCAACTTCATCGCGAACCAATTCTGAGTCCAGGCGAGTTGTCCTGATATCCAAACATTCCGATGCTGGAAAATTGACAGCAACATAAAATAGATGTTTTTGTCACATATTCTATCTACGAAAACTGATAAAATCGATTATACAAGAATTTTTAATATTACAATAGAATCCGCTTATAATGACATCGAAGGGAAGTGACAAACACGTCATACTGAGCGGGCGTCGTACGAAGCATAGTATTAGAAAATAAACAACTCTATTTTGGTTAATTATTTACTTTAATGGAGTGAAAAACCACAAATTGTATTACAAATTGTATATACTTATTAACAGAAAAAGAAAAAAAAAAAGAATGAATTGTAATATCAATATACATAAGAAGGTCAGAAAAATGAGCGAAAGTGTTATTATTAATCATCTAGGTCACTATAGTCGGATATGATTTCTTGAGAATCAGTCATAATAAACGATATGTCATTTTAAACGGAGTCATTATATCCAAACTTTCTTATGGGGAATTTAATATGAAAACCAAAGTTAACACTGCAATTATTTCATATTAAGCCGTTGGTCAATATAGGCGGAGTCGTAATAAAGGAATTCCACTGTATCTGGTTACCTATTATTATTATTATAGATCGAAATCATTGTGTCTGGCTATCTACATAAATGAGTTTTCGGTGTTGTAGCAAACACCATAAAAAAGTATTTAAATATAAATATAAGTACAGTCGAACTCGGTTATTTATAACTAACACGAATTATAACGAACAGTTAGTTTTAGTAAACGAAATTTAAATAAGAAAACTACTACATTCCGTTTAAGCACGCGTTTTTTATATTTGTTTATACCGAACATCGGCTTTAGCGAACTTTTCTAACAAGTAAGATCGGACCTAACGGACTAATATTTTTTTTACGATTGAGCTTAACAAATCATGAATATGATCTCAATTTGTTCTAATGTCAAACTATCTATATAATTACGGCAAGTTCATTTTGTTTTAATTATTTCAATCGCTACAATCTCATTTTTGTATTCTTTTTATAAGACCGTGGCAAAAATTGAGAAGGTAATATTTAAGGATTTCAATGTCGATTCCTTGTGAAACACTATTTAAACAAGTAATTACAAAACCACAATTGCTTATAAACATTTACTTTAAAAAGTAAACGCAAGTATAGTATAGTAATCAATAAATAATACAAATTTACAAATTTAATTTGGTACGTTTTTTGTTATACTTATTAAATTATTATTGCTACTGTTTGTTTTTTCTTTTTTGTCTTTAACGATCGCCTGTCACTGCCGCGTAGCCAGCGTAATTATTCGGTACACGGCGAATCCTAAAAAAGTGGCGGATGCGCCGGGTACTGGATCCATATCGGGTACTCGGCCTATCTCTAGTTTGATCCGCGACTTCCTTCGCTTGGAATTATTTCTAATTGATTTTACATACATTTGTTATAACCAAAAAAAAATTTAAAGAAGCTAGTAGCTTAGATCACTCTTGGAAAAATCGTAGTCACGTTCTAAAATTCATAGAAATCTGTTCAGTCGTCTTGAACATTAACCCGACTAAAAAGGGTTGTTTGTACTTTAATGGTATTTAAATCACTTTATGAACTTCAAAAAGATAGTTATTTCGATATTTCAGACATACATTTTAATTTTATTTAAATCCTTAATCCTTAGATCCTTTGAGGATCTCTGGCGATTTTGAGAAAACAGTTTGCGTATTTTCCTATTGTTTCTATTATTTTTGCTTTGTCTGCTGGTATCCCGCATCTATCTGTTATTTGTGATTCGTAGATCGAGATCATCATCATAAGGTCATCAGTCCTAAGAATGGTCGAACACGTACCTCCACTCTTTCCTATCTTGAGCTAAACTTCGCATTTCCCTAAAACTAGAACAGCCCACAACTTTAACTATTTGCGAACAGTAATCTAATCTAGGTCTACCTCTACCCCTAACTCCTGTTTCTGCCTCTAATATGTCTCTGACTAGACCTTCATGCCTGAGAAGGTGTCCTACCAACCTATCTCGCCTATTTTTTATTGAGTTCCATAGAGTCCTCTGTTTTCCTATTCTTTCCAATACTTCTTCATTTCTAACCTTTTCTACCCACGAAATTCTCATCATCCGCCTATAACACCACCTTTCGAACGCTTCTAACCTTTTCTTTTCCGCCGCTCGCTCTGTCCATGTTTCGCACGCGTACAACGCCGTGCTCCAAACATACACCTTTAACAACCCTCTTCGAATTTCTAAATTAACCGTTCGCGAGCATAGAAGTGACTTCTTTTTATTAAAGGCGACACGACCCTGCGCTATCCTCTGTTTTATATCCTTACTACTCCTTCCATCCTCACTTATCTGACTTCCTAGGAATCTAAAATCAGCCACTTCTTCTAATTTTTCGTCTCCTATCTTTATATTCGCTCTTTCCCTACTTTTTCTTCCCTTGCATACCAGTATTTTAGTTTTACTTTTATTTATTTTCATACAGTACTGATCTGTCAGTACCGCTTCCATTTTATTTAAAGCTATCTCTAGGTCCTCCTTGCTAGATGCTAATACTGTAGATCGAGATAAACATTTTTTATTTACTCGTTTTATCTCTAACGAAACGAAAATGTGGCCCAGCAAAAAACGCTGTATTCTAATCGGTTTGTTGATAACCAATTAAAAAAGTTCGTGGTGCTTTGTGTTTTTATAAACACAAAGCACCACGCAATCAGAAGAAAAAGAACAAATTAAGTGATGTGGGGTGAAAAACTAAATAATTTTTCGAGAATTCCGAGAAAATAGAAGAGGAAAATGTAATCGAACTGGAAATCGACAAAGAAATAAGGAAAGTAAGTGTTAATTACTTTAAATAACTAAACGTTAGACTTATAAAGAGGATTACAACATTGTTAGAGCGTTTGGGTAATAAGGGCATTCTACGAATTTTAAACGCTTTAATGTCAGATTATTTGTTTTCTTAGTAGTTTTTTGATCAGATAAACGAAACCACCGGCGATTTTCTCACCAAAGGAGGAAATAGTCGAGCTCTATCCATAAACTAACTAACTGTATTTTATTAATACTTTTTCACCAAAACTATCGATCAAGAACTCTGCCTTTTTATTTTATTAACAACATCAAAATGCAATTTGTGCGTTTCTGATGGTAAGCAATATCTAATAATTAAAATAAGACAAGGCACAGTTTACATGCTGCAAAATATGATTTCGTTAATTTAAAATAGTGTTGATTTCCCAAAAACTATAGATCGAAGTGTGATATTTGTAATAAAAATCATTTGGAAGTATCATGTTACAAGCAAATTTTCTTCGCAACAATATTTTTTTGATATTGTTTTAACATTGTTTTCTACAAAATATAAGGTTGTTCGGAAAGTCATTTCGTTTTTTTTTGTGGAAATGAAAGACAGTTTTCGTATAATAAACAAATACTTTATTAAATGTCTTGGTGAAACACTACACCTTTCCTGTTGATTAGTTCTGACCTTTTCTGTTGAAGTGCATCATTCAGTTTGTCCAGCTGATGACAGTAGACTTCCGAATTAATCGTTGTGTTATCCGGTAAAAGCTAAAAAAAAACGATTCCTTTAAAATCCCACCAAACAGACAGCATCACCTTTTTTTGGTGAATATCGGCTTTGGAAATGGTTTGAGCCGGTTCATCTTTTTTGCTCCATGACCTCTTGCGTTTGACGTTGTTGTATACAACCCATTTTTCGTCCCCAGTGATGATGCGCTTCAAAAACGGATCATTTTCGTGACGTTTGAGAAGCGAATCGCAGACGTCAATGCGGCGACACAGATTTCTCTCTGTGAGAACATGGGGAACCCATACATCGAGCTTCGAGGATAATCCCAGGCCTTTCAAGTGGTCATAAACTGTTGAATTTGATAAATTTAACCTCAATCCGATCTCACGTGTTGTTATTCGCCGGTTCACATCAACTAATGCCTTTATCGCGTCTTTATCAGCTTCAACCGGCCTTCCCGAACGTGGTGCATCTTCGACATCAAAATTGCCGGATCGAAATTTAGCGAACCAGTTCTGGCACTGGCGTACTGTCAACACACCTTCTCCATACACATCAGTCAATTTCTTTCTGGCTTGAACAGCATTTTTACCCTTTCTGTAGTAAAACAGTAAGATATGTCGAAAATGCTGCTTATCGCTCTCCATATTTAAAAGGGCACCAACCAAAAACTACTGCGTAGAATTAATTGGAATTTTTCACACACAAGCCTTGCTATATGAGCTCTCAAAGCATATAAAAATTATACGGCTTAAATGTGAAGTTGGGTGCAAAAGAATACAATTAAATCCTCTGTCGGGAAAAAACGAAATGACTTTCCGAACAACCCTATATAATTACTTTAATAAGACACCCTGTATATCAAAACTTAAAACCTACCTATAGATATTGGCATTTGTAGTATGGCCTTTGCTTTTTTCAAGCGTGCCCTTTCTTCGTCCAACAGGCTGATTTCCTCGGCAGCTGCCGCTATCGAGCTTTCTAATTCGCATTTCCATCTTTGCATCTCCTGCAGTCTCTGTCTCAGACGGTTTGTACTGTCTTCCTGATTTTTATCCACGTTTGCTTTCTTTTCTTCCAGACATTTACGCCCATCGAAATCAATTCTACAAATAATGAAAACGAAATTAATATTTTCAAATAATTCGAGGTAATGTGATAACATCTATAGAAAAACAGCACAAGTTTCAGTTACAAATTATTTATTTATCTTAAAATAATTATTTCGGCATACAGCAGCTTCTTCAAAGGAAGATATTTTAAGTAGTTTCATAATCATCAAGGGAAAATCAGACACTCCTTCCTATCCTAAACCAATCTTTACATTTCCCTAAAATTATATCATGCACATTTCAACTATTTGCACCCCTTTTCCCCTCTTTTCTCCTGTTTTTGCGTAATATGTCTCAGACTAACCATTAATTGTTTTTCTACTCCTTCTAACAGAGTCATACTTAAAATATACACTCAACAATCTTTTAGAAATTTATAAATTAACTGTT